AAGAAAGAAAGAAAGAAAGAAAGAAAGAAAGAAAGAAGAAAGAAAGAAAGAAAGAAAGAAAGAAGAAAGAAAGAAAGAAGAAAGAAAGAAAGAAAGAAAGAAAGAAAGAAAGAAAGAAAGAAAGAAAGAAAGAAAGAAAGAAAGTAGAAAAAGAAAGAAAGAAAAGAGGAAGGAAGGAAGGAAAAAAAGAAAATAAAAAGGAAGGGGGGAAAGCAGAGAATTAAAACAATGCAATCATGCACTATTTAATTCCAACACACAGAGACTCACCCTCTCTTCTTCCAATAAAATACATTCTATAACAATAAACAGAAGCAAATCTACTGCGTTTCAGTCTATGGCCATACCACCCTGAAAGAAGTCAATCCTCTTACCATTTATAACCTCACTGTTTGTTAGAAGAGCATATTTCCAAGCACATGATACCCTAATGTCTCTGAATATTCCTTTTAATTTGATATGTTTAAAATGTTTAGTTTAAACCTTCCAGTTTTTCCGAAATGAAAAAAAAAACCTTTATCTGAAAAAGACTTTATCTTGTAAATTAAAATGGATCTGCTTAAAGTTACTTGTGTTTAAACTTCAGCATCTGCTTGCTGCCATCCACTACATTAAAACTTTTATTTAAAATACAGTAACAGCTGGACGTGAGCACATACACCTGTAATTCCAGCACTCAGGAGGCTGAAGCAGGAGGATCACAGCAAGCTCAAGGCTAGCCTGGGCTATATAGTGAGTTCAAGACCAGCCTGAACCACATAGCAAGACAGTCTCTAAATAAATAAATGACAGTAATTGTCTGGTGCCACTGTTCCTCCATAATTAGACTTAGCCTGAGGAGAGGGGTTTTTCTGGTTTGATCTATTTCCAATGATAAGACTCTTGGGCCAGGTATATAGTTCAGCAGCACAAGCACCTGCCTAGCAAGCACAAGGTCCAGAGTTCAATTCCCAGTAACCAAAGTTCAGTGGAGTGAGTGCGGGTGATGGCCTGTCAGTGTGGCTAACAGGTGGGAGGACACAGCAGCCCTGTTTTCTGGGGTGTGAGTTCCCAAGGCTGGAAACCCAAAGGGTGTTTTGTGGGCTTCATTTTTTACTTTTCTCTACAGTGCTGGGCCTTGAACCCAGGGCCTTGCCCGTGCTGTGTAGGCATCACCTGACACTAAGGCCATTTGGTGGAAGGCAATTTGCTGGCATCTCAGGGACTGTGGAGCCGCCTGGCCACTTGGTAGTTGAGGGAGACGGAGTTACTGAGGTTTGCTCCACAGCTCCTTTTTCCAATGGCCGGGTTTCTCAAGGCAGCTTTTTTTTGTTTTGTTTTTTTGGTTTTTTTTTTGGTTTTTCTCCGGTACCGGGAACCGAACTCATGACCTTGCGCTTGCCAGGCAGGCGCTTTGCCGCTGAGCTAAATCCCCAGCGCCGCTAGGTAGCTTTTTAAATTTCCATCAATGAGGTCCAGTAGTGGGACCAGAAACAGGCGTCTCCACCACAGTACTAGGCTCGTACTTCCGACCTCCAGGCGGCTGAGGGGCTTGGGCTCGGGTTTCCCCCAGTCCTCACTGGGGTTGGCAGCCTCTCCCCGCCTGTACCCTTGGGCTGAGCGAGGCCAGGACCAAAGAGCTGCGCCTCCCTCTGTGAGCTGCTGCTCCTCCTCCCGCAGGGACGGCTTTTCGGGGTTGCTTTGTCAGGAGCTTCAGGACCTCTGCATCCCAGGAGCCAGCCACAGAGGATGGTCTGGGGTCCACTCCGACGGTCCAGGCCCCGGCTGCACAGGCTGGTCACCCGTGTTTAGCGGGAGTGGGGTGGCAGGGGGCTCCCCCTACTGAACAGCGGCCTGAAGGGACCCTCAGAAAGTCAGTCTGGCCCAGGGGTAGGCTGGAAATTGGACAAGGAAAAATAGGCGCATCAAAATAAGTCTTTTTAACAGCAACACCCAAAAAAGGAGAAGGCGGGAAGCGAGGCAGAGGCCACAGCCCAGTGGGGCGCACAGGGAAGATGACACAGCCGCGGATACGCGAGACTTCTAGCGAGCACACAGACGCCGACGTCCAAGTCCACTAGGGACAGTGGCGGCTTCTTCCGGGCCGAGCCCCAGGACTTTTTCCAGCTGAGTTCTTGTTCTGGGAAACTGGGTTGAGCTTTCCGTTCCCTCGCCCAGGAAGCCTAGGGCGCTGCAAGCGGGAGCAGAAGGAATTTTCCAGAACCCACCAAAAGGTGGCGCCAGACACCCGTGAACACAATGAGGGGCTCCAGTCCTGGTTGGCTCCTGAAGCTGTGGACCGGATCTGGGCAATGAGAGATTCCAAGGAATCCGAGAGATCTGCACCCACAGAAAATCACCCTGGCCAGAGGATAAAAACAGAGCACACAGAATATGAGAAAAGATATCCTTTTTCTTTTTTAAGAGAAGGGGAGGAGTAACAGAGGCTATGCAGACTTTGAAATCCCTCCTTTATAGGGACGCAAAAGAACCTTGCCGCGGGGCCTCTTGACAAGACAGAGAGGGGCAACCGGGCCAGACTGGAAGAGAAGTGAACGGCCATGAGAGGCTGTAACCCTGAGGAGGCGGGGGATGGTCACAGGGGTCAGGGGCCCGGGATTGGTGGCGAAGGGAAAATCCCTCTGACGCATCTACATTTACTAGTGTTTTCCACTGGCGCAATAAATGAACCAAGCCCAACACAACTAAATAGCAATAGAAATACCGTACATTCTTTTTTTCTTTTTCTTGGTCTTTTTGAGACAGGGCTTCGTTATACAGTTCAGGCTGGCCTTCAACTGTCTTTGTAGCCCAGGCTGGCCTCAAACTCGTAGCGATTCTTCTGCCTCAGCCTCCCAAGTGCTGAGGTTACAGGCATGTGCCACCACACCCGGTGTACATTCTGTTCTATTCGTCTTCGTGAATTCATTGTGTTATATTTGGCGCATTTTGGGTGGACGCCTTCCAGCTTATTGTATCCATTGATGTTAGACAACATCCCCTGACATTCACATTGCCCCGCTGCTGGCCAGTAGGAGCACTTTTCAGATTGGTTACGGATAACTTTGAACGACCTGATTATTTAAGCTTTTTGTTTTCTGATCCAGCCAACTGTAGATATTCTAGAATTATCTTGTATCTTTCACCCTCAGATTGGACATCAAATTTAGCCATGGCTCCAAAACCATGGTTTCGTTGGGGAAAAATAGTATTGGAAACCAAAGTCTGGACATTAGGGTACATTGAGGGGGTGACATTTCTTCTGGGCCACTTCAGTGAAAAAAAGCCAAAATATGTTTAAAACACATAGAAGCCTGATTTCACACTGACTGGCTCAGTTAACAGTGGGCAATTCTTACTCACACTTTGCGATCTACAGTTGGCCCTTCTTTTCACTTATCCTGGAAGCTGGGCTCCTAATAAACAATTATTTGCTTTATCCAGTAATGCAGGAGACTAACTCTTTCAAAATGTGCTATCAAATTAAAAAAAAGTAAATAAATATATAAATTTTAAAAAAAATAAAAATGTGCTATCAATACAAACAGTGTGAACCCTGAATACGATCTTTGTGTTAGATAGCATACCCCCAAAGGATTTGTTGTCTAATTACTGTGTAATACAGTCCCTCGTAATCTCACATCGCACTGCTAGGCAAGGACTTCTCTGACAGTTTGGACTCAGATGTTTGCATTTACCATGACTCTGAGAAGGCTGCACGATGTGCCCCATTTTATGCACCACATTTTCATTTCTCCATATGGCTTATAAACTCCCAATATGCTACATAAATCACTTAACAATAATAATTCTTTTTAATATTATATTATTAGGCCAGGTGTGGTGGCACACGCCTGTAATCCCAGCACTTGGGAGGCTGAGGCAGGAGGATTGTTGTGAGTTTGAGACCCACCTGGGCTACAAAGTGAGTTCAAGGCTAGCCTGAGCTGCATAGCGAGACCCTGCCTCAAAAAGACAAAAAAAGTTATATTATTAGCATTTTCCCCTTACCCCATTGGATCATCAGCCTCATGGAGCAAGGATTTGCTCACTGGACCCTGGTGTTGTTCTCTGAAGTCAGGATAAGAAAGCCAGGCTTGTTTCCAGGGAAGCTTCTGAGTCGACAACAGCACAGGCCACAGGGAACATCTTCACTGAAGCAGCAGAAGCAGCCTGGGCCACTCCCCTCCTACAGTTCCCCCAGTGCCAATGGGCCACAATGACAATCTGCAAAAAGAAAGCCAGCATTCATTTTGAACCTGCTTCTAGGCCTCCTAGCTGAATATCTGGAAGGTTTAAGCTTCCAGGAGATGTCCAAGGCTGGAGCTTATAACCAGGGGGACCATGCTGCTGGTTCACCTGGATAAGCCCCATTACAGCCGTTGTCCTGTTATAGTCACAAAATACACTCACCATGTGCACTCATTAAAGAGTCCATACTTGAAGAACCAAGGGATAGGGATAAATAGCTGGAGAGGAAGCTTGAGGAGGAGCAGAGTTATCAGCCATGTAGGAGGCAGCCCCTCAGCCATCAGGACTAGCTCGCTGTCTAGTACATGGCTGGGGACATGGGAATGCAACAGAAGCGGAGAGAAATGTCTAAGTACCTACAAAGGCCAGCAAATAATGGGTGGACTTTCATGGGAGGTTCTAGCAGGGGCTCTCGGGCTCATTGTTGGTTCTGGGTCCCAGCAGGTGACAGAGAGAAATACCCTCAGGGTGAAAAGGGAGAGGGGAGGGAAGCACAAAAAAATGATGACCTGTATATTAGTAGTGTGGTCTTTATTTTTGCAAAATGAACATACGTTTCCAGTTGATGTAAAATATAAAATTCACACACTCTTCATAAAAAATTAACACAGCAACACACAAAATGGCACAAAGGCAAGATTTTGGCGATCTCCTAGCTGGGAGAGAGGCTGTCCTCTATTTTTTTTTTTAGCACCAATGGGAATGTGTTTTTCTTTTTATTTTATTAGTACATTTAGATACAGTGATCATATTCATCAGAGGGAATTTGTACCAGTACATATCTTGCTTCTTTTTTTTATCATTCCCCTCCCCTCCCTTCAGCTCTTCTTCAACTCATTTACAAAGGCCTTGTTTCCATTTTAGGTCTATTGACTTTTCCTGTCCATTCTTATACACACACACAAAAAAAAAACCTTGTTCTCTTTCTCATCTGAATATTTTCTCCCCATTACCCAATACCTATGATATATTTTTTCCGTTATTTATACATCAGATTCTCACACTAGAGAAACAATATGGTATTTACATATGTGTGTCTGATTTATTTCACTTAAGAGTATGGTCTCAAGGTACACCCATTTAGCTAGAAATGTCTCAAGTTTATCTTTCTTTGTGGGTGAGTAGGACTCCATTGTATAACACCCCCATCTTCTTTATCCATTCATCAGTTGACAGGCATTTGAGCTGTTTACAAGACATGGCTATTACAAACTGCCACTATAAACATGGATGTGCATATATTGCTGAGGTATAATGCTTTTCCTTCTTTTGAGAAAGTACCAAGAAGAATAATTGGGTCAAATGGAACCTCTAGGTTCAGTTGTTTGAGGAATCTCCACACTAGTCTACACTCCCACCAACAGTGGAAAAGCATTTTTTTTACCTCACAGCCCTTCCAGCATTTCTTATTGGTTGATTTTTTAATAATAGCTATTCTTTCTGGAGTGAGATGCAATCTCACTATTATTTTAATTTACATCTCTCAAATAACCAGGAATGTTGAACATTTTTCATATATTTATTTGCAGTTTCTACTTCTTCATCTGAGAGGTGTCTATTCATTGCAGATGCCCATTTTTGGACTGAGTCTTTAAATTTGGGAATCTGATTTGCTTTTTAGTTCTTTATATATTCTAAATAGAAGTCCTTCGCCTGAGGTACTGCTGGCAAAATTTTTTCCCACATTGTAGGTTGTCTTGTCACTCTGTTGGTGGTTTCTCTCACTGTGCAAAAGCTTTTTAATAAAATGAAATTCTAGTTGTTGATTCTTTGTGATAGTTCCTGTGCAGTCAGGGTTTTGTTCATAAAGTCTTTGCCTGTGCCAATGTCTTCAAGAATTCTACCTATTTTATCTTCCAGTTCATTAAGTGTTTCTGTTTTAATATTTGATCTTTGATCTATTTCAATTTTAGTTCAGTGCACAATGAAAGATATGGATCTAGTTTTAAATCTACAACATTTATAAAGCCAGTTTTTCCTGCACTGTTTGCTAAAGAGGCTGTCTTCCAAAGATTTTTGGCTTCTGTGTCAAAGATAAAGTGGCTGAGAATATCTAGACTTGTTTCTGCATCTTGTAGTCTGTCCCATTGATCCTCGGGTCTGTTTTTCTGCCAGTACCATGCTGTTTTATTACAATAGCTCTGTAGTATAATTTCAAGTCAGGGATTGTGATGCCCCCTGCCGTGGCTTTCACGCCCAGAACTGCTTTTTCTAGTCTAGGTCTCTTCTGGTTCCAGCTGAATTTTGGATTGTTTTCTCTAATTCTGTGAGATATGCTTTTGGAATTTTGATCAGGACTGTGTTAAATCCGTACAATAATTTTGGAAATAAAGCCATTTTCACTATATTGGTTCTTCCTACTGAAGAACAAGGGATATCCTTCCATTTTGTAACATCCTCTTTGATCTTTTTCAGAGTACTATAGTTTTCAATGTAAAGGTCTTTTATTTCCTTGGTTAGATTTATTCCTAAGTATTTAATTTTTTTGGATGCTACTGTGATAGGTGTTGTTATCATAACTTCACCCTCAGTAAGTCCACAATATAGTGGTTTTTGCCCTCAGGAGAGAAAATTTAAAGGGGGTTCAGGGGAAAACAGAAATAGAAAGAGAGGAAGAGATTAGAAGCAAGGCTGGAAGACAAAGGAAGATCACACAAACTTTGGGAAAATGGTGAAGAAGGTAGGAGGGAAACAGTGAAGGAAAAAATAAAAACAAGAACAGAACAGAACAACAACAAAAAACTAGAAAACATCTTTACACTCATATAAAAACAAGAACAATCATGAAAAAATAAAAACAAAAGCAAGAAAAGAAAGAAATAAGAAAAAAAATGTCCACCTCAATGTGTGTCTCTTCTGTCACTGGTAGACAACATGGGCAGAGTCCAGATCTGAGTTGATTAACTCCAACAAACCAGCCAGAGTTTTACAGCAGGATAGTGGGTAATTCCAGCAAGCCTGCACCTTTAGTTCCACTGAAGTTCAGGCCAGTTTCCGGCTGTGAGGCTGGAACATGATTTGTTCAGCCTGCAACACTCTGTGGGCCTCCTGCTGGCTTGAACTCGGCAGCTTCACCATGCCAGTGGGAGCTGCTAGATGGGGCTGGCCTACAGCTGTTCTGAGTTCTGAGCTTAGCTGGCCCCTCTCCAAGATGGCTACCAGCCAATCACCCTTTCCTGGGGAACATCTGAACCAGAACAACTCACCAGCCACTGCAGTTCACTGCATCCATTGTTTCATTCCACTGGTGCATTTCTCTGGAAGCCTCTAAGGTCACCAGTTATCACCATGCATCTGCAGGTTCAAGCCGCCCTTCCCACATAGTGAGTCTGGTCTCAGGGAGAATGCACCACCCACCTCCTTCTTCATTGAATTCTCTCCCTTTGCTTTTATGGTGGGCTTCAATCTCACCCCAGATCCTTCCTGGTTCGCAGGGACCCACTTCCCTCCTTCTTCGCTTCCTCATGTTGCTATATTCCAGCAGGTGGACACCAAATCTCACAAAGGCTCTTTCTCTGTGGCTCACCACTCCACCATCTTCCCAGATGCCTTCCATGTATTGAGACTCCACCTGGTGGAACTAGGGTGGCTGGCCTGTTTCCAAGGGAGAAAAACCTCATTGAAGCAGTTAGCCATCTCCACTGCAGGATGTTTGGTTTTTTCGTTTTTGTGTGTTTATTTGGTTGGTTGGTTTTTGTTGTTTTGTTTTTGTTGTTGTTGTGGGCGGTTTTTTGGTGGGGTTTTTTTGGTCCTAGGAATTGAACTCTGGACCTTGTGCTTGCCAGGCAGGCACTGTGACGCTGAGCTATCTCCCCAGCTCTACAGGATGTTTGGAAAGACCCAGGAAGCGGCAGTGGAGACCAACCAACTCAGTGGATCTCAAGGTGGGAGGGGGTAGGAGCTAAAAAATGAGGTTCAGGTGTTGCTCATCAGTCTCTCATCCCAAGAAACTCCTCTTTCCATTCCTTCTCTGCTGGTGGCTCTTCTTCAGCTGATGCAAGAAAAACTGGCAGAGCTTTTGGAGCTGGGGTGGAGATGAGCAGCCTGGAAGGAGATAAGGGTACCTGCATGAGCTGTTTGAGGAAACAAGGGTCCTCACAGATTTCCTGAGGACAGAGGCCTGTGAAAGCATTGAGGAGCACCCTGGCCCTGCAAAACCAATACCATCCTCCTCAGTTGGGGTTCTTGCACACTGAGGCTGCCCCCCATCCAGGCAGTCAGTGGTCGTGGATTCCTGGGGTGTGGCTGCATATAGAGGACTCAGAGTGCTCCTCCCTTGCCCCAGCTACATCCCTGAGACACCCCACTCTCCTCACCAGAGGTGTCCTTTAGGCCTTTCCCTGGCTCAAGACTGACAGTGGAACTAAATCCCAGAAGATCCCTTTCTTCCAGGAACCAAAAGGACCGCCCAGGAAGATCCCCTTTCGTTTCATCTCTGCCTTTTAGCAACTCCGAAGGACTAAGAAGCACAAGCCTTGCACTTGTTGCTGACGTCCTTCTGTGCTCTCACCACACTGTGCACATTTTAATTCCTGTCCTCAGAGTGCACACAGGGGCCACAGCCCATGGCGTTCCCCGGCTTACAGTATTTATACACATCCTGTGCTCAGCGGGGTTGTGGTCTGCATCCTGCTCACAGGCTGCAGTTGGCTAAGCCAGCCACCTGTGCACAAGCATTGGGCTCTCCGTGCTGGCTCCCATCCTCCCTTCCTTCTTCAGGGCGGGCTTTGATCATTCTCATTACACATTTGCATCCTGCTCTGCAGAGGAACTGAGTCCATCACAGTGGCCAGGGCTGCCAGCTTCCGCTCAGCCCTGCAGAAGCGGGGCGTGTGTGCACACACAGAGGCAGCCAGCACTTGACAGGTTTGTCGTAATTCACATTATGGATGAGAAAACTAAGGACCAGAGGGATTGAGTCTCTCTCTTCATGGTCACTCATCTGCCAAATGGCAGAGGTCACATCGCCTGACCCCTTGTCAGTGCTCTGCTGGCCGTAGTCTCCACCCTGATGGTCGCTTTTAGGCATGGACCAGCAGGCAGGCAGGGGCTCCTCACTTCTCCCATCCTTTGTCCATCAAGGAGAGAAATGCAGCCTCTCCCTCATGAGTTCTGTGTCCTGCAGACCAGGCTGTCAGCTCCTGACAAGTGGGCCCTTTCCCAAGGCCACTAGATCCAAGTCCAGAAGACAGCATGGCCGTGGCACAGACGTCCACCTCTTCCCTTCTGCAGCTGATTAACTTCTGCGGTGAGTTGGTTATTTTCAAGGTGTCTGGGAGGACCACCATGGGGCAACAGGAGTATTGAAGCAGCTGGCCCATCTTCCAGACGGACAATGGCACAACCA